GCAGAGGTGGGGAGACTGAGGCAGAGGAGGGGCAGAGGGTTTCCAGGGTCACGTGTCAGACTGGAGGCCTGTGATGTGGATGGTCACACTTGGGGCCAATGTGAAATGAGCGGCCCCAGAATTAATGGGAAATACCGGGATGGGGGTCACCCGCCAATAAGGCCCTCCTGTCAACAGACACCTGAGAATGCCTGTGAAGCCCCCTTCCTCCAGGCAGGGCCCAGCGGGGACTTGGGGTCCCAGGGGAGGGCCCAGGGAGCTGCGGCACCCATTGTCGGCCCCACATAGACAGGGAGGGCGGCTCCGCTCTGTCCCACCTGCCCAGGCCCAGGCTCCTCCCGGCTCTCCGTGCTCCCTGCCTCCGGCTGGGCTCCTCTTTCCCTCAACTTCCTGCCACACAGGGGCTGTATGCACCATGGGGGGTTCGGGGAAGAGTCAGACTTGGTCTCCGTTCTCAGATTGTTCCGGGGTTGCTGAGGAGCAGGAGAAAGAAAGGCTAGGTGTGCCCCTGGATCTCACAGGCAGAAAGCGACTGGAATCCTAAGAGAAGTGCATGCAATGCAGGTGGGACTTCTGTCTGGAAAGAGCCTGTCTGTATGGGATTGTGGGGTAGGAGCTGAGAGATTTATGGAAACCCTGACCCACCTTCATTTAAAAGTTAGGTGGAGTTTTCATCTAACAAAAATGGAGGTAAGTGCATTCTATGAAGGGGCTTCCAAGTGAGCAATGGTGCAGAAATGGGGTGCAATCGATCAGCCCCATCTGTGAAGTTCCTACTGTGTGTCAGCCTCCAGCTGGCCACACTGCACACAACCCTGGGAGGCCGGCTCACTTACATTGTCTTGAATATGTGGAAACTGAGCTTCAGGGACTTCCAGCAAGCTGCTCAGCGTCCCACAGCTCCCAAACAACACACGTAAGACTAAAGTCCTGCTTTAATATATCCACTGAGGAACGTGTATAACAGCATTCAGAACAACCCAAATGTCCGTAAGAATGGATGGACTATGGGCTGGCACGGTGGCTCATGCCTCTAATCCCAGCACTTTGGGAGGCCGAGGCAGGCGGATCACGAGGTCAGGGATTTGAGACCAGCCTGACCAACAGGGCAAAATCCCATCTCTACTAAAAATACAGAAGTTAGCTGGGCGTGGTGGCGCGCGCCTGTAATCTCAGCTACTCAGGAGGCTGAGGCAGGGGAATCGCTTGAACCTGGGAGGTAGAGGTTGCAGTGAGCCGAGATCACGCCGTTGCATCCCAGCCTGGGCGACAGGCTGAAGTGCTACTGTTCAGCCCCTCCTGTTTCCAGATGGGGCGTCACTATCTAGCACACCCAACAAGTACCTTTAGAGCTCAAGCATGTATTATGTTTCTCTCAAATTAGAAAGTCATCTCCCTGAGGGCAGGTACTTTACTTTCTTCATAGCTATATCTCCAGTGACTACAACTGTGCCTGGCCCATGGTAGGTGCTACATAGCTATTTGGTGAATGAATGAATGAATGAATGGATGGGAAAATGAGAGAAGTCCCTAGTAAAGAAGCAAAGGAAGTGGCCCTGGGGCCCATGGAGACGGTGCCATCCTTCCAGGTCACATGGCTGGCAAGGGCAGAGCAGGACCCGGGCCAGGTCCTGAACTCCCACTCAGTCCTGCTTCTCCGAAACCCAGAAGGCTCAGTTCATCAACATTCCTGTCCACGGCCACCAGAGACCATGGGAACAAATCTGTCTGGTGCAGGAAGGGATCAGGATGAAAGAGAAGATGCCTGCATTCTGGTCCTGGCTGGACTTCTCCTTGCTAGTCCTGCTTATGCCTCAGTTTCTCAATCTGGAACATGGGCACCTGCCTCTCTGCTGACGTGGGTGGAGGAGGATTTGGGAGGAATGCGCAGAGGTGGTCCTTCCTGCCATCCTTCCTCCCTCAGGAGGGGCCGGGCCGGCCTGAGGCACTGGGGCCAGGGCATGGGCGGTGTTGTGAGAAGACGCTTCTGCCACAGAGCCACAGGGTCAGGGATGGGAGGCACCTTGCCTTTCTGATGCCATCACTGTAGAATGGACGAGAAAGCAGAGGCCTAGGGAAGGGAAGGGCCGCGGCCCGGGACATGCAGGAGTTAATGGCGGGCGCAGGCAGCACAAGAACCTGGGTCCTGCCTCCCGGATCAGGGCTCTCCCCTCCCTGAGCACAGAGAGACCAGGGACAGAATCCACCTGTTCCATCACTGTCCTGCCCAAGAAAGCCCAGGTCTACAGGCTGATATGGACGACAGGCCAGGCAGGGCCCCGGCTCTGCCCCAGCCCTGGCCTCCCAACGCAGGCTCTGAACATCAGGACGCAGGCTTGACTTCCTAAAGCAGGGCTCTGCACAGAGGCCTGAGCCACGGAGGGGGCCTGTGACAGCCCCACCCTCTGGGTCCCACAGGCTGCCATCAACAGTTGGGGCCTAGGGTACCAGGCCTGGCTTTTCGGGAGCCAGATGAGGCTGATAGGAGAGGTGGAGCAGGAGGGAGCAGGTGTGGGAGCCTGGGTGTGGGCAGTGACACCCCAGTGACCCTGCTATTAGATCCCGTGGTGGCCTCTGGGGCCACTGACCTTCAGGGGCCTCCAAACACGGAGAGCATCCTGGTATGTGTCTACCCCACCCTGCCACAGCCTCAGTAGTTGCCAGTTAAAGCTACTCTGAGAGAATTCCACTAGTGCAATTAGCACATCAGAATAAAGAAGGCCCTTCTGACAGCTGGCTGTGCCCACCCACAGCCTGGGCTTCCACTAACAACGACCTGCCTGTTAATCCTGCAGTGCTGGAGGCCCCGGGTCTTAATGAAACATGCAGAGCTGATGTGGGAAGAAGCTGGGCTTTGGAATCCACAGCTGTGGATTCACCCCAGATGTGCTGTGTGGCCCTGGGCTGGCCATTTAACCTCCCTGAGCCCATGGGCTGGCAAAACAGTCTCACATGAATGAAATGAGGAATTGTAAGGCTCTGAAAGTTCACGTGCTACTTTTCATTCCAAAAACAGGTACAAACACCTTTTGTTTGGCTTTCTGAATCTGTTTCTAGGTTTCACATGTGTACAAGACATATGGAGATGCTTCTGTCACCTCCGTACCAGGCCATAGCTGGGAGGGTCTGGGGCCAAGAGAGGCCAGGTCCAGTTTCACCGTCGGAGGGGAAAGGAACAGGCTTTCTGCTCCTCCCCTCTATCAACCAATCACACAACAACCTTGAGGACAGATCACCAGGCACCTCATTTTCCAAGGAGCAACCAAGGCTCAGAGAGGATGAGGAACTTCCCTAAGGTCACACAGCAGGGGTAGCCGCTGCCCAATTCATAGCCACAGCCCCCACCAGGCTGTGCATGCCTTGACTCAGGGGATGCCAGGGGAGGTAGGATGTGAGCTGGGTGGTGACTCATTCTGATGGGTGGCTCCCGAGGGGACATTCTTGGGCGACTCCATCCATAAGTCTTCTTGGTCCTGTGCCTGGGGCCAGCCTGTCCTGATGACAGAGCCCCAGCCCCAGTTTCACAGATGGTCTCCTCTGTCCCACATCCCCACCCTGTCCTCTAACTAGGAAGGTGGCATCCAGATCCCACGGGCCAGAGTCCTGTGCCTGGCACTGGCGCTCAGTGATGGTGAATGGCTGCCTCCTGCTGCTTGCCCCCCACCTCAGCCCACCACCAGCTCTGGGTGGCGGGGAACAGAGGCTCGGCCATGCCGCCTTCTGCCCTAGTGTAGGAAGCAAATGGCTGAGGGCCCCCACAAAACCTGCTGCTGCTCAGTGCCCTGGGTTCTTCGGCCCAGACTCCTCAGAAAGCTCTCTGCACCCTGAAAACCTGGCCTGACAACAGAAATGTCATCTCCTTGAGCACTGGATGGACAGTCAGGCTTCCTGGGTCTGTCCTGGCTCAGCCGCATAGAGGCTGTGCTATCCTAGGCATGGCGCTGCCTCTCTGAGCCTCACTGTCCTTATCTGGGAGATGGGGATGCAGACCGTGGCTGTTACCAGGGTTGCTGTGAGGATGGAGAATGAAAGATGCTGTCGGTGGAGGGAGGCTGGAGACCCGGGCAGGGACCCTCTTCCTGCTCTCAGCCCCACAGCTCCCCCACCTCAGGCTGAACTGTTGTCCTTGGCTCTCCAGACCCCGGCTTGTCACTTGCCACAGAGAGGAGGCAAAGCAGATGGGGGACCTGACCAACAGTCACTATACGACCACAGACCAAAGAGTTTAGCACTGCAAAAAAAATCTCTGAGCTCCTAAGGAGTAAATAGCTCCCGGGTTTGATAAAAGATGTTGGCAGACAGGAAAAGCCGGGCTTTGCCTGGGAGAACAAAGTGGGTCCAGCTGCCCACTGGGCCATTCCACAGGCCCAGACACTCACCCCACACCAGGCCATATCCCAGGGGCTGGGCCCAGGGTGACAAGGCCACAGTCCCTGCCCCACCGACCTGGGTCTGTTCCTTCCCCAGCCGCTCCCCTGACAGCCGCACCCCACCCAGGCTCCAAACAGGGAAGAACCTGCTGTGGACTCAGGGCACCGGGTCAGCTCTGGTCACTCTGATGATGTGACCACAGGTTTCCACGCTGAACTTTGGCCCTCTCCTCAGTACTGCCCTTATCACAGTGACAGCATCCTGGCCTTGTTTACTCACCTGTCTCCCCAGGACCAGGCTGTCTTCCTGGGGCTGCCCAGGTGGGCAAGACCATCACCTGATTCTTACTGCCTTCACCTGGGTGCGTTTGGGGCAGGTGAAAGCAGGGTGAAGGTCTCCCCTGGGAGTCCACAGTTCCCCCCACTCTGCTCCTGACCACCCCGAAGCCCAGGGTGCCCAGGACTCTTAGACCTTCCCTGGCCAAGGCGTTCGCACTCCCCTAGGGGTCGCGTCCACCGCCTGTGACTCCCGGTTCGGCCACGGCCCAGCACCCCCCGCGGAGGCACGCACTCTCCCCTGCAGCCAGCTCACTCTGAGGGTCCCCGCGGAGCGCGTGCGGCCGCACTCACCCATGTTGACGAAGCTCATGATCAGGTCGGCACGGCCCAGGCGCCGCTCCGGGGGCGCGCCGTCCTCGTCGTCGTCGCTGGCCATGGCGTGGTACAGGTCCAGCATGAAGAGCGGCGCGGACGCGGGCAGCCGGGAGGCGGCGGGTGGCGCGCGGGGCCGGGGCCTCCCGGGCAGCCCGAGCACAGCCAGGATCTCGCGCTGAACGTCCCGGCGCTCGCGGGCGCCCAGACGCCGCTGATGACAGCCGGGCGGGGGTCGCGGGCCGGGGCCGCCCCCGCCCAGCGCGCACAGCGCCAGGCCCAGGAGCCAGAGCGGGCCGGGGCGTGCGGCCATGGTGGGCCGGGGGTGCTCAGCGGGCGCGCATCGGCTCCGCGGCCGCCCCTGGGCCCGGGGACGCCCCGACGTCGAGCGGGGTGCTGGGCTCAGCGGGCAGCGGGACCGGGCGGGCGGCGTCCGCGGCCTCAGCGCGGTCTCCGGAGCGCCTCCTGCGCGGCACCTGCCCAGGCTCCCAGACGAGCGGACGCGGACGCCAGCGCCTCGAGGTCGGGGCTACTCCGCGGGCTGGGACTGTCCGCCAATCCGTCTGTCGCCGCCGTGCCCGCCTGTCCGGCTGTGGCCGCGGTCCGCGCAGCGCAGGGGCGACGGGCGAGCTCCGGCAGCGACCCGGGTGGTGAGATTCCCGCGAGTCCCTGCCCCTGCCCCTGCCGTCGGTGCCGCCCGCCTCCCCCCCCGTCCGACCAATGGGGGCGCGGGGGCGGGGCCAGGGGCGGAGGGCACGCCCGCGAGGGGGCCAGTGGCGGCGGCCGGTGTCGCAGGTGGGGCGACCAAGAGGTGCGACCTGGGCGTGGCAGGTGGGCGGCCGGGGCGAGGGGTCCGCAGCAAGGACGTCAGCGTGATCAGGGCCGTCGTGCCTCTGGCCGCGGGCCTCGGCGCAGAGATCCTAGGGCTGCAGCGCGGTCCCGGGAAAGCAGGACCCGAGTCCGGGTCCCGCCAGTGGTGCCACCCGGCCGCCCCGCCGTGGTATGCGAGGGTCGCCACCGGGCCCAACACGCGTCCGCAGCCCTGTCTGGAGGCCAGGAGGTGCCAGCCAAGTCCCGAGGGTGGGGCACGTTCCTCTGCCCGCAGCAGCAGGCCCGGGTTCTGTCCACCACTGCCCCTCGCCGCCTTCTGGCGCCTTCCCCGCGGCCCCTGCGTGCGCTGCGACGGGCGCCTACTTCCCGGCATGTGCTCCGCTGCTCCTTCCCTCGCCCCCCACCTGGCTCCCTCTTGCACCGGGCAGTCCCCCAGCGGTCCTCGCTGTACGCCCTGCGCCCCCGGTATTGATTCGCGGAGGAGACTTGGTCTCCTGCCTCCAGCCGGGCTAGGAGCTCTGGGGCCCTTCCCCGAGCACCTAGGAGCCACTCGTGGACATCTTCTCAGTGCCATGGCCCCGTGCAGGCCTGGCAGGAGAAGGATCCTTGCGGAAACGCCTGGACTGACTCAGCCCCTTTCTGCACACCCTGCTCTTCCCTGGGCACGCTCTTGCCTTATTTATTCATGTGTGGTTCAGGCGCTGCAGAAGGGGAAGGCACCTAGTCTGCCCTAGGAAGGCTGCTGGAGTTGACCTGGAGCGCCAGGAAAGGTCAGTGGAGGAAAGTGCTCCAGGCAGAGGGAAGAGCTTGTGTCAAGGCCCTGAGACCCCGGGCCGGGGAGCCTAATAATGGCAGGTAACAGTCAGCACTTGCCACGTGCGAGGCATGTTCTAAGTGCGTGTCCCGTGTCATTTCTGTAATGCTCACACATTGTTAGGGGGTACATACCATTTGTTAACAAATGAGGAAACTGAGGCACATAGCGGTTAAGGGACTTATGCCAGGTCACAGCAGTGGAGCTGGACTGGGGCAGGTGGGCGGCTGCTCAGTGGAGCGTAGAGAGCCCAGGGGGCAAATGGCCGAGGCTGGAGGGACTGGCAAGGGAGAGACCGCAAAGGGTCCCTTTTTCCAGGGGCTAGACCAGGGCCATTTTCCAGGGGCTAGACAACGGCCCTGGGCACCAGGGATTATGGTGACCTCCATGTGGATTGAAGATTAAACCTCCAAGCAAGTGTATAATGCCTACAAAATCACATTTTGAAGGCATCACTTCAAAAAAAGTTTTTTTTTCAAATTCTTAATCTGAACAATTATTTGCTGGTACCTTAAAACATGCTTAATTTGTCTTTTACCCAACAGATAAATTTCCACACTGCTCGTAAATTTTCTGCGCGGTCCCGGAAGCGCCCCCTGTGCACCACCTGCTCCGGCTCCAGCCTTGCAGATGCGGATGCCACCGCCTTGAGGCCCAGGCTACTCCTCAGACTGAGGACTGTCCCATAAGGATACTGAACTAAGGATAATTCAGAATAAACGTTGAAATCACTCAAGACCAGAGCATGGAAGCAGAGCAGAATATGGATCAGAGGGAGACTGGAGTCAGGGCCCCGTAGTTGGAGTCAGGTACAATAATCAGATGTGGGGGTTGGTACAATGACAATTAGCCTCTAATTGTGATGGGGTGGATGGGCAGAGGTGAAAGCTGTTTAGGAGGCTGAATCCACATGGCTTTGTCCCCATGTCATCTTGGTCAGTGTCAGAATCTCCTGCCCACACCCCCTTCACTGTCCTCTCTGCATGCCCTTTTTGAGTCCACAGCACATCACCTGAGGCCCTAGATGCAGGCTGTAAAAGTCTCGGGTTTATTTTGTGCAATGCTGGGCTCCCAGCTAGTCTGTAAGCTGACTAGTGCTGGGCTGATTCTTATAACTAAAATGATTTCTCAATTTAGGATGAGTGGAAATAGAGCTGTGTTCTTTAAACAACGGGCTTCACATTCCTATACAACTAAACTGCAGATTTTAGCCATTCCAGGGGCCTCAGCCCACGATTCAATTCAGCAACCACCACTGTGGGCTGCTTTGTGCTGTGACCTGAGCCAGAGATGGAGTGGACAAGCTCCCTGCCCCTGAGCAGCCCCCAAAGCGACAGGGGTGATAGCTGGTGAACACAGTGATTTCCAAAGGCAGCATGAAAGCTGTGCTCCCAGAGGAGCTAGCAAAGTGTCTGGAAGGGCAGATTTGCTGGGAAGTAGGGGCAGGTGATGTGTGAATGGAATCCTAGAACACTAGGACTGGAAGGGAACTGAAGTAGGGTAGGTTTCTAGGAGAAAGCAGTGTCCGAGCAAGGGCTTTCCCCAGCCACCTGGCAACTCTGTGATCTTAACCTCTCTGAGGTTCAGTGTCTCATCAAGAAAAGGGGGCTAATGATCATAGAACTGTTAAGGGTATTTAGTGAGAATGTATATATAGCACTTAGCACAATCACTGCCTTAAGGTAAGCAGTGTTATTGCATCATTCAAGGTCCCAGCAGACACCAAATTTGCATTCCTCATTTAGCATTTCAATCACAGGACTGTGATTTATACTTTTTTTGAAACAGAATTTCACTCTTCACCCAGGCTGGAGTGCAATGGCACAATCTTGGCTCACTGCAACCTCCACCTCCCAGATTCAAGCAATTCTCCTACCTCAGCCTTCCCAAATAGCTGGGATTACAGGCACCCGCCACGGCGCCTGGCTAATTTTTGTATTTTTAGTAAAGACGGGGTTTCACCATGTTGACCAGGCTGGTCTCAAACTTTTGACCTCAGGTGAACCACCCACCTCAGCCTCCCAGAGTGCTGGGATTATAGGCATGGGCCAGGCCTGTAATTATACTTTAACCCTTTTCCTAGTATCTCTTTATTTCCTACATTGTCTGTGGAAATGCACTATTTTTAGCCAGGCATGGTGGCATGCACCTGTAACCCCAGCTACTCAGGAGGCTGCGGCAGGAGAATCGTTTGAGCCTGGCAGGCGGAGGTTGCAGTGAGCTGAGATTGTGCCACTGCACTGCACTGCAGTCTGGGTGACAGAGTGAGATCCTGTCTTAAAAAAAAAAAAAAAAAAAGGAAATGCACTTTTTGTTGGTGTCATCGCCAGCTGAGCTTTGCCACAAAACCCCAGAAAAACCTTAATTACTTGGTAAGATTCTGGACCATAGTCCAGAATCTGGGAAGATGGAGGTCAAGCTGGTCTCGCATGCTTCTGCTGCTAAGAGGCCTAGAAGGGGAAGCAAATTAGGGTGAAAACACTAACCTATACAAAGTCCTGGCAGCTTGAAGTTACTCGGTTCCATGAAGAACAGAGTAAGCACTTCCTTCAGAATCCATTAGGCTCCAAATTCCTTTTAATCTGGAGATTTGGCCTAAAACAGCTTTGGCAAACATGCATGGATTTCACCACATGCCCACATAAGGAATGCAGCCTAATGACCAAGAACACAGGTGGCATGAGTTTCAGCCCCTTTACCTTGGAAGCCTCTAGCCCTTTTGTTGTTACTAAGTTAACATTTGGCTGTTCTGTTATAAAGCTGACTAGAGGCTGGAGGAAACAGAAGTGCCAGACTTGAATAGGGAGTTGAGGATTGGATTCAAAGTTTGCTTCTGTTATTTATTCATTTCATGAGCTCAGGGAAATCACTTTCTACTTTCCCATCCCAGTTTCTCCATCTTATAAAACAAAGGAGCTAGATTTGATGACCAATTTTGCTTCCACCTCTGAAATTCTATCATTTAATCAGAAATTTCAGCATGCTGCGATAGTGTGAAAAATTGGTCCCATTCTCTCAGACCCCAGGATTTCCATGATTTCTAGTATCTATCTTTTTACATAATTGTTATTTGTTTAATCATGTAAGTGGGACAGATGCCCTACATGTTCATGTTAATATCCTGGTTTTTTTTTGAGACAGGGTCTCTCTGTGTCACCCAGGCTGGAGTGCAGTGGTGCAATCATGGCTCACTGCAGCCTCGACTTCCCAGGCCCAAGTGATCCTCCCACTTTAACCTTTCTAGTAGTTGGGACTACAGGCATGTTGCCACCATGCTTAAGTTTTAGCAGATACAAGGTCTTACTATGTTTCCCAGGCTGGTCTCCTGAACTCAAATGATCCTCCTGCCTCAGCCTCCCATAGTGGTGAGATTATGGGCGTAAGCCACCATGCCCAGCCGTATTAAACAAAATTAAGAATAAAATAAGAGAAAATCTATAATTTGTCTATCAAGATATTTTGATTTGCATAATGCATTTAAGTCCTGACAACATGAGGATACCCCATGATAACATTTATAGATAAGGTAATGGTTGAAAAGAAAATCAGGAAATCCAAAATATTTGTTACTGCAAGCAATTTTAATACAAAAGTGTCTTGTTTTTAAACAGTTCATTGGTAGAGCTTCAGTTTCTGCCTCAATTAAAACCAATTGAGATAATCACACAGCAACGTGGTCGGAGCTGAAGAACAGCAGCTAAAAAAACGGGAGCCCTAGACAGCCCCTCTTCATGGTCACTTGGTCAGTTGACTTTATTACGCACAAAAAAAGACGAAAGCAAACGGGACTGGTTAACAAGTGTGCTGGTGAACTCCATTAAAGGACGGGCAAGTATGTGTCTTATGTCCGCATTTTCAGAACAGGCTCGTGGAATTTATTCCTCAGTCTATGGGAAGTTGATCGACCATTTAAATAAATAGCAAAAAAAGTAGATAAAACAAATCTGTAATTCACAATGCCACCAAGGAGCCTATCCCTCGCGAAGGGTCTGGGTCCTGGTGAACACAAGAGTTACTGGTGTCTA